CCCCAAAACCCCAAAACCCCGGATTGAAACAAATTTTTATGCGGACTTTGATGGGGTAAATTAATAATTTGAAATTATAATTACTTATAATTTAATTTTCTAAAATGGAAATCAAAATCAAGGATATGATGCTATTTGTTGTTCTAGTATTGCTCGTGCCTTTTACATCATCTATGTGTTTCCTTTTTAAAGACACATATTAGATAATGTAAAAATTATCATTTTCTTAGAAGTTCGCTTTGACAACTTTGAATGTAATGGACATATGCCTATTTTCAAAAACTATTTTCTATGGTACTGAATATGTACCTCATAGAGAAATCACTCGTAAAATTCTTTAAATGAGAGGGAATGAGACTTCCGATGATTTTGATTTCATAGAATACAACTAAATGATACAGCAATACTAAAATAGATCGTTCGTAGAAAAGTAGATTGTGTATAAATACAGTCAAGATTATAAAATCCCATTAATAAGTCATAGAGTTTGGGCAACAGATGTTAAAAAGCCTAGAGAATTAGTAGAACTAATTGGTAATAGAGCAAAGAATAGCTTGCAGGCAACCTATAAGTATTTAGATAATTCTGCAAGAAAGTAGGGCTAAAAGTGGACTCATATTCTCTGGGTTTAAGACAAAGAATTAGTACCTAATACATTGAAGTTATTTACAAAATTTGGAGTCACAGTAAGATCCGTATATGAATTAGAGGCAATGCAGGATGAAAGAATCAGAAAGTAATTTGAATTTTATGTTCAGGACGGACCAAGAGCTCCAGCCGCAGCATCTGACTTTATAAGAGCAATAGCAATATTTGAGTTAGGAGGAATGTACTTTGACAATGATTAAACGATCAATCTATGGGACTACAATATAAATCACTATTTTGATTTCGTTTCTACTCGTCTTCTTACATAATATAGTGTCATAGGACTAGCCAATGCTTTCTTTGCTGCTAAATAAGGTCATCCAATTCTAGAGAATTATATTAAGATCATGGTAGATATGTTTAAGTTTCTAGATGAGGAAGACGAAAGGTCATATACTTAAAATAGCTGTAATTCAAGGACTGTGGGATTAACTTTATTTGGCACAGGCCCAACTGTCTTCACTGTCGTAGCATATAACCTGTTTAACTAAGACGGAAACCAAGATGGTCTAATATACGAAGATTGGGAATCAAATTAGCTTGCAAATATTGATGTTATCGATGAAAATGGCTAGGAAAAATCTTTGACTATAAAAGTTCGGAGTTTTGACATGATGAGTAATTCTTGGACTAAAGGCTTTTAGGATAATTAATTATTTGGTCTTCCAGAACTTTACTCATTTTGAGACATAAACTCTCGTAATAATATAAAGAAGTAGATCAATTAAGTGATTAATTATGATTTTTACTTACGTATTTTTAGTATTTTCTATTCTATTATTAAGATAGATGAATGGGGTTTTGGGGTTTTGGGGTTTTGGGG